GATTTCTCCAGGATACCCCACAACTGAAAACCACACAAGTAAACCCATGTCAGCTTTTCCCTGGCCAAAGGGACAATGCCCTTCCTCAGCAGTCCTTCCCCTGGATACCCTCTGGGAGGTAGGAGTTTTCTCCACTCTCCTCTGTGTACTCTGCCCTCCCTTGTCTGGGATAGGGAGATGGAAAAAACAAAGCTGGATGCAAATGCTGCTGGGTGGAAGCTGTACTATATGTTTTTATACTTTCTTATTTGCACAGTAATGTGAGCACACACAAGTTCACCAGTGCATTACAATACGCACATTTTCAGTCTTCAATGTTGTGTTACAGAAATCTGCCTCCGCATACAGTTCAACATCTCATTTGCAGGCAAGGTTATGTTTTCCTTTAAGGGTAGTTAGAAACACAACCAATTTTAGGTACTAATACTAATTTAGGAAAGTGCATGTTCTAATAAAGGTAGTTTAAATGTATTTAGAGGCTGAGGAGTACTTGAACTTTAATATTGCCAGTTTCAGATATACATTTGAATATTAGTGAAGCTAAACTGATTGATTGAATTACTTTAGGGAAGGGTGAGACACAAATGCAACATTTTAGTTAGTCTTATTACATTTTCATTTAGCTTAAGGGAAATTGTAACTGCTTGAAGACTGGATATTAAAAATACCCGGGTAAATTTTTGCAAGATTTTGCTTTATCACTACGTGCATATGTCACATGCTGACATTCATTTGCTAATGCTCTTTCCCATCTTTTGTCCCACTTCTCCTAAAAAAGAAAACAAGATGTGAAATTGAAAAATGGTGCTCACTGAGGGGTTTAAAGACATTTGAAATTTGGAATATATTTTAAAGGTCAATTTCAGCAGTAATTATGTTATAATGGTGAAGCTTTTAGAGAATGCGAAACGCAAGATTAATATGTTGCCAGATAAAAAGTGGCAGAAGACTCTATCTTGTGTGTGTGTGTGTGAGTGAGTGAGAGACTACGTGTGTACATGCACATGTTGCACATGTTAAACGTTACAGGCTCCAGCAACACATCAGAACAAGTTTCACAGTTACAGGAAACATCACTAGGCTTTGTACATGTACAAAACTTCCACTGTTATCAAGGACCCTTACACTGAACACAGGCTCATACTTTTAGTCCCAGAAAGGGGCTACCAATTTTCTGTTCCAGCTAATGCCAACAGCAGCAGCAGCAACTGATCCACACTTGAAATGAGAGTCCAGTGTGCAAGGTGCTGTATGGCCAGAGAATAAAACCCATAAAGCTATTTATGCACGTTTATTTAGTCAAGACAAAGGGAGACTTTTCACACATTTTGAGAGGAATTAGAGATGTCGTTAGATAAAATTAAGTGTTCTGATTTACAATGTGTATCTACATAAAAACCAGACATATTTCAGTCTTTTTAAATTCTGAGATTTGTGCTTTAACTACAGGATCATATATGTAGTTTTGTATTTTGACAGATGCTTTTCTGGCTCATTGTGTGCTTCTTGTTGCCTGATAACTTAATGTACCTCAGCATACTCAATCAAAAAAAGAAACCTCTGAGTCATGACAATGCCAAACATCACATGAGTTTTCAGCTCTTCTAGAGCGAGTTGTATAAGAATGTTTAGATCCTCTGATGGAAATTACTCCATAAACCACAGTGTAGGCAACAAATGTTTTTGTTGCAAAACCCATTCTGCTGGAGGCAATACTACCACTCCATGAATGGCATTATTACAAAACTCAGTCTTGGCTTTTCACCGAGGCCTGCTACAGACGGGGACTTTCATCCCAACAAAGTTTTTCTGGCTTCTTTTTGGAAATCCAAGCCTGACAGCACATTTCTAAGAAGGAAAGTCACACGGATGGATCAAAGCCTGAACACAGAGGGGAGTGTTCATACTGTCCAGCTGTAGCTATCTGAAGCAAATCCTGTGAAATCTGGAGGCCCTTGTGTATCTCTATTCATTATATAGGAGTGGGATTCCTATCTTTTATTTTTAACATTTAGAAGTCAGGAGAAGAGGTCTGAGCTTCCCTGATTTTCTTTTAGGTCCAGCAGAGAAAAACGGGCAGGCAATAAGTGTGACTCACCTAACTGTTTCTAGGTGGATATTCAGGTTGTTATTGCTCTCCTCTCACTGCATAGGGAAGCTAAGGACAAGCTCAGGGTAGGCATCTAACTCTTAGGCACTTAATCCTTAGATGAACCTCAATTGCACACTGCTCACTCCATTTACATTTAAATTAGGTGCCTAAAGACCACAGGAAGATGGTAAGCTCCCATCTCCCCAGCGACAGAGTGAATATGAAGGCAGAGCCCCCATAGCAAGGGCTGTGATTGCTCTGGAATCTGCAAGGCACCTGGCCACTGCAGAAAGGCAGAGTAAAACAATAAACCCAAACACGATGTATACTGAGAGAACTAGTAATTTCCCAAAGCACATCATAAATAGTATATTTATAACATTAGTTAAATGTCTGCAACTAAAATTATTTATAATAGAGATGTGAGAACTCAATAGACTATTAGTGAAGTCAACTTGTTTCATTCCAGAAGGACTGGACAAAGACTTATTACACTGTATATGAAAGTCTTAAAGAGTTGTTGGCTTAGAAAAGTTTCTTTCCAAGATGTCTTCATAAAAATAATGAATGTGTTATAGAGCATAGCTTATGAGAGAAAACCTAGTTTGTCTTGACTCCTCTCTGACATATTTCCCATATAAACAAGGAGAAAAAAAAATATGTACTTGTATCCTAATGAAATAATAGCATACAATGTTAAAGAGAGCTCCAGAAAACCTACACCACAGTATCTTTTGCCTTTGAGTTTCTCCACAGTGTGTAAAGCAAAGAGTGAGTGAAGGCCAACAGGTTGCTGCCTTTATGGGCAACAATACCTACATCTCTATCTGTAAATACAATGCCAGGATGTTGGCATGTGCCCTGCCCTTCAGTTTCCCACACTGCAGAACCATTAGCACATGCCTTGACAGTTTTGGTCTGTGTCCAGACTGATCACTGGTCCCTACATGAAAGCGCACATCAAGGACCATTCCCAAAAGTAGTGTGAATAAATATCTGCCAGGTTTGTCTCCTTCCACCCTACCCTGCCCACTGTGTTTCCAGCAGGCTCTCCATGCTCATGGGTGCTGATACATCCTTATGCCGCACCTCATGGCATTAAGCACATCCCCTCATTTCCAGGCTTGGCTAACACTGGTCTGTTATAAGGGGCTTCTCTCCCGCTCCTCTGAGCAGAGCCCACACAAAATAACAGATCTACTTTCTGTGAATGTGGTTCAGACTGTGTCTGTTGGTTGTGGAGCTGGAGAATTGTTCCTAAACCTGTTTTATTTAGTCACAAAGACGTGTTCAGTGCCTCTGCTGCTTTTGGGAATGAAGGACTAGTTTTCAGCAGCAGAAAATCTGTATCTTTGAGCACGGATAAGGTTTTCTGTTCCTTCTCCAACTGTGATCTTGATCTTGGAGGCTCAAGAGCTGGTTACTCAGAGCGGATCAGGTCATTCTCTCTTCATACAACAGCATTCACTCAGCTGGACCAGTCAACAAATAACCAGGGAGAAGAAACAGGAGGTGGTAAGGGCTGTTATTATCACCTGTTGCTTTTGTGACTTGGATCCCATTTTAAGAGGCTATGAAAAACCACCAGCCAGCTCAAATTAAAAATATAACAGGTCACTGCCAAACTCCATTCTTTTACCCTCCTTTCTGAGGTTTTTTTGGAGTGATCATACCCGCTTCTTGTTGTTTCTTTGTCGTCAAGGTCATGCATTATGAAGATTTCTTTTCACTCAATACACTGAAGGATAAATAAATCAGGATAAATCAACTCCCTCCATCCCCCTCAAGGAGGAAATTTGCCCTCTGCAACTTCTCCTGGTCCTCTTCGTTGTTGTTGTCCATTTAATAAACACTGCAGCAAGGCAGTGTCTCTTTGTCATCTCCCTTCAGATTCCAAGACTCTGTGTTGCGCATTAAAGGTTTGGAGCCACAGGGTGTGCCAAAAGCTGGGTCATATGTTTTGCTGTGATGTTTCTACTATTTCAGCTTTGTCTAGAAAGGGCAAATGGTCAATCATCTTCCTGAGAGTTAATGGAGCATTTCTGCATCAAGAGGAAAAAGTGAAAAAGTTTTAAAAGAGTGGCTTATTATCTCAGTAAACCAAAATTCACCTGGCCTGTCACCTGCCTAGGAGTCTTCATTTTCATTTCTTTTTTTCCTCACAATTTTTTTTCCTTTGCTTTCCTTCACTTTTTAAGTTTTTCTGTAATTCTGTTGCTTCAGTTTCAGTTCCACACCCATTTCCAGTTCTCCAATTATAATATTTTGAACTTTAACATTAAAACTGGGATACCTGTCTAACATCTATCCTGTGTAGGTTTCTAAGCTCTTTGCAGACAGTAATTAACAGAATCTGACAAAAATTCTGAAAGTTTAGGTTAGTGGAGGCACAGAGTGCCTGAGTGGTCAGATGCTTAATTAGTGGCAGAGCTAGAAAGAGAGCCTGGGAGTCCTGACACCTCATTCCTTGATTTGACCATCTGATGTTGTCTCACACAAAGCATAGGAAAATATGGATCAGACTATATCTCTCCCCATCCCTCTTTATCTTATTGTAATACTGTCCATATTTAATCTACTTTGTCAATGCCAAATACCCCACCAGTCTACCTTGGGAAACACTCTGTGATTCTCTGGTTACTCTGTAATATTCTGTCTTCTGGTCCCAACCTTTCCCTGGAGATACACCCCCCTGCCTCCTGTAGCACAGGAGGCTGTTAGTGATATTAAAGGCTCACCTTCAGCTACATCAACCATTGAATCCAGTCAAATAAGAAAATATTTTTTCTGTCTCCATCAACAGGGACATAGAATCACAGAATCATAGCATCATAGAATCATGGAATCACAGAATAGTTTGGGCTGAAAGGGACCATTAGAGGTCATCCAGTCCAATGTCCCTGCAATGAGCAGGGACATCGTCACCTAGATCAGGTTTTTCAGACCCCGGTTCAACCTGACCTTGAATGTTTCCTGGGAGGTGGCTTGTTGAGCATTGCAGGACTCTTTGTTTGTGGTGAGGTTTACAAGCACATCGGGGCTGATATTTCCTCCAGCATGTGCCCAAAGTTTACACCTATCCTAAACCACTGCTAAGCACCACCTCTGAGCAGTCAACCTGACAAATGTAAGTTTTTCTCTGACTTCAGGTAGGGACAGCATCTTATGAGAAGGCATACATCCATTTCCCATCTATCCCATATACTTGTATGGCTCCCAACATATTGTTTTTTAGGTTAAGCTCTCATGCTTCCTTCTATGTGCTTAGGAAGGACTAGGAGCCAGATGTAGGGATGGGGAGCTGGTCTTGCCAGGATGGCAAGAGCACAGGTCAGTGGGCTCCGGACACACACACATTCTTCACATCTTCACAAAGACACATTTCAAATTACCTTGTCCACAGCTGCAAAGGAAACCATAGCAGAACTCGTGACTGGTTCCCTGCTATTGCTTCACGAGGTGTCTTGTTACTGGTGGGGTTCAACCTTCACCTGCTCCATTCAGGTATTTCTGTACAGCTGGGGGCAACCAACCCTTGCACGTACTGAATCTGCCTGTCTCAGTGTCTGCACTGTTTCTACTGTTCATCATCCCGCCCCATGCTGCCATCTCCCTGACTAATTAATAAGTGAGTCATCTTCTCCCGTGGCCTCGAAATGCATTCAAGCTGTCGGTGGGACATTTATTTATTTATTTCGTTGTGGTTAAAGGCCTACTCTCCTAAACAATGAAAGGATAAGTAAAATCAACTCAGACAAGGTTATTTCACATTCCTAATTTCCAACATTTTTTTTCTTTTTGCTGAAGTCCCACAATGCTTGTTCGTGTTTTCCTCCCTTCCCTCTCCCACCTGCTAACAAAAAAAACCAAAATACATTTTCGAATCAAGATAAAGCCATCAAAGAACTAACTAAACATGATTAGAAAGGACCTCTCCTTAATGGGAAAAAAATCATGATTTAGACCTGGCTGCTTTCCAAATATCCCTGTGCAATCAACCAAAGAAACACATTTTAGAAAACAGAATTGTAAAAGTAACTTTGAAGAATTGGTTGCCATGGAAACAGATCTGTAAATACTTAACTGCAAACATTAAGTGACACAGTGATATTCCAGAGCCCAGGATGCTTTAAAAGGATGGCAAATTTCACCCGGCTCTTTAAATAATCAACTCGGCTGTGCTTTGATTTTCCTTCTTTTTTTTCCCTTTCTCCTTTCTTTTTTTCACACTATTCAGTGCAATCGCATCCCTGTTCTCAGGCATGTGTGATAATGGAAATGCCAGAACTATTTTATAAAAGAGAGCCCTGATCTTTTATAACATGGAAGCAGAGAGGGAGGATGCGGCACCAAATAGAGAGTCAGAGCAACCTGTGGAGTCTGAAAATATAGCTCAGACTCATTCTGTTTCCCTGTAACTGCAGGGTCAGAAGAAAGAGTGATTGATTGTGGCTTTTCACTGCAAGAAAAACCGCAAACGACCAGCAATTTCTTGTCATCTGCCAGGGAAGAATCAGATGCAAGGAAATAAAAGGGTTGTGGGCAATTTTAATTTAAACAAGTGGGTGCATTTATGTTGTGCCCTAGCCTTAAATCTTTGCTTAGACTTAACTCACTCCTGGGTTCCCCAGTACATTTCAAGGCCCAGCTCCTGTTGAATTCAGTGCAATAAGAGTTTCCTTATTCCTTGGGGAGTCAGAGCCCATTTCCTTTCTTCTTATGGAGCATCCATGCCCCACATGCTTAGCTGGTTCTGCAAAGAAGGTGACTTCTTTTGAAATCCTCAGGTGTTTGAAAGGCAAAACCTCTCTCGCCCTACTAAGATCAGAAAAGTCAACAGCATTTGTGTTTCCTCCTGGGAGAGCAGTGAGGGGTGGCTGCTGACAGACCTTTCACTGGCTGCAGGCATTGACTATGGAAGACTTTTTGCAAGCCTGCTTTCCTGAGATTTTGAATGACTGAATTTTCAGACATAGTTGCAAAGGTCTACATGTTCTCCCTAGCCTCAAGGGAGGTGAGATGGGTCATCAGTACCATAGCGTGAAGGATAACTTCAGGGATGACCATGACCCAGTGCATGAGAACGCAGTGAACTGCGGTTATACACCTGGTCCCATCAGATGCTTCTTAATAGCCTTGCTCATCTGTTTGAAGTTTGGCAATATAGGTTTTGCTGCAGTTTTGAAACCTAACATGGGCAGAAGCTGACTGCAGGTTAATTTAACTTGTAGAAGTCTTATGGGCAAGGTGATTCCTCTTTGGTTTCTGACAGACTGTGCTCAGAGCCTATGAGCATCCCTACACTGCTAAAATAGCATATGGCTTTTCCGGAGTAAGGGGCTAGGAGGGAGGAGAGGATATTTTCCCACTACAACCCTGCTGTTGGCAAGCACTTGGATTTGAACCAGAGATCCTCACTGCTGAGCAACAGCCTGTGAGTATCTGCAAACACGGGTTTAGCTGTCGCTTTAGGAGGACCTTTAATAACCTGCTTGTTTTCATCGTTCTGGTTGGGTTTGAGGTTTTCTCTTCCCAGTGGGCCGGCTGTGTTATCCTACTGAAAGCTGAGCAGTATTATCCTTTAAGCTGATTTTTCTGCCCAGCTTAGGAAAAGAAGGGACAGGCAGAGGAAGGAAAAAAACATAGAGGCCAAGGATGCAAGAAAAAACAGGAGGGGACAGAGAAAAGCAGTTTGAAAGGAACCCTGATCTCCAGAGTGATCACCTTTAACTTACACATTTTATTTGCTGGGAGTCTGTATAACTGTAAGGGATTCACCTCTCCTCTGTCTAGTCTTGGGGTTAGCAAAATAAACAGTGAAACACAGATAGAGGGATAAACCTAGATATAGATAAGTTGGCAATCAATTTATATATATAGATATATCATTTTTTTAAGAGGTGCCTTTATCTCATATAGCTGAAAAGTTCCCACCTGGATCTCTCCTCTGCACAACCTGCTTATCCCTGTATCTCACATATATACCATCTGTCTGGAAACCTTTGAGAGAAACCTGTGTGATCTTTGTGGAGGGAAAGTGAGGAAAAGCACATTTTCCTTTGCCTTTCTCCACTCCCTGCTCCCTCCTCTGGGTGCATGCTTCAAGGAGATGTGTGTATGTCAGGCAGAACCCGACACAGGGCAGGGAGAGGAGAGGTGGCTCTCATTTGCAAAATCTGCAGTGTTTTCATCCTTGGCATGGTGGTGATGGGGTGGGGGAGAGGAAGGGGGTATGGCATGTCACTTCACTTTATCACTGCCTGGGCTCTCGCCTTGTCATTCGGCACTTGCCATGAATCTAAAGAGAGTTTGGCCTTAATAACTTCACACAAGTACTGCATTGCCAGTGACTTTAGAGACGGGTGACAGCAAGCAAGGAATTATAATGAATTGCTGCAAATGCCTTCTTCACACAGATTACAGTTATTTTCCTCTGAGCCTGCATGCCTTCCAACATCAGGATTTCGGTTCAGAAGATAGGGTTGGGTGGTTTTGTGTCTAAGGAGACAGGCACACATTTAGCCACCTCACTTGGGCCCCTTCACCCATTTTTTCTCCTACTGCCTACCTGGTGTTTTTTTGCTAGTTGATTTGTTTCAGATTTTTTTTTCTCTTATGCAGTCAGAAAACTGATTTTCCTACTGAAAGCAGTATGCTGATCACAAGCCACCCTGTGCTTTGACAGGGAGTAGAAGGAAGTTTGGCCCTTATTGTGACTGAAACAATTTAATTTGGGGTTAACATCTTTGCCTGCCACCATAGTCATGTAGATTGGACTGTGAAGGTCTCCCCACTATCTCCTCCAGCCAGAACACGTCACCTGGCTGTTTGTCCATCCTGATGTTTCCTGATGAAGGTGCTCTCAAACATCATTCTTGTCTTCATCAGGGCAGCTCTTTTGGTCTCAGTAGAATGAGCAACTGTCCTTGCAAGCATTGCTCAGCACCCAAAGTGCCTGTGACTGGTTCAGGTTGACTGTCACTGTTGCCTATAAGTAGACTTAGCTTAGTCTGTGGTGCATTTGGGTTTTGATTATTGTACGAAAGAGGGTAAGGGTCACCCAAATACAGCATGACATTTTTAAAATTGATGCTAATGGCCAGTACATGGCCAGAATATGGCCCATAACCATTTCTCACTTCTCCATTAGTCACCATTGTTTTCCTTAACAGATATTTAACAGTAGCGAAGTGATGTAGTACTCGGCATTGCTAAGAAGAAATTGTCTGCACAGATAGGTAAACGGCCCTAAAAATCTCCTTGGTGCTAACACTAGCCAAACTCTCCATCTTTATGCTCATTCTGGAGATTTCTTTGCTAGGGTTCAGAATATAACTATTCTTGGGCTGAGGACAGCAGATTGTCTTGTTTTGTCACTCTCCACTCCAAACAGAACGCTGGAGGTGGAACTGTCTCGATGTCACCTTCTCTGTTCAGGTGATTTCAGTGGTGGTCTGCAGAGAGCGGAGGATAAACGCCACACAAAATCAAGAATAGCCTTCAGTAAGGTGTGAAAAGAGAACTGTTAGGCAGTCACTTTGTGCAGCTCTGCAAGGGTCACTTCTGTTCTGGCAGAACATCTCCCAAAATCACTAGAGTAAATGGGAAGATTTGCTTTCACTGCCCTGTTTTTTGCTACAGTTTGAGAACACAAGATAGTTTCTCCACATGAGTTAGAAGTATAACTCTAAGTGCACTTCAACCCATCAACTTTAGGTATTTAAAAGAATCCTTAAAGAGCTTTGTTTGAGGCCCCAGGTCAGCTGAGCTTTGTACAGTGCAGGCAGCTTTCTCAGCCTAATTATCCATAAAAGGAGGCCTTGTTTCAACTATTCAGTTCCTAGATTGGCTTTAAAAGACATTATTTGTGTTATTGCCCGTGTTACTTGTTTAGTTAGCAGCTGTCATATGTCAGGATCAACTGAGACACGGCAATGCGTGGCAAAAATATTTCAATTATACATGGAGCTATTCTTAAGCATTTAAAAAAGAGGCATGTCTGTCACTTAAGTCCATGTTATCCTGGAGGTGCACACCTGCTGCTCCTGGGTCTCAGGTGCACTTGGGACAGGCATTTGATCTTCTGTTTTCATTGGTAATGAGTTAGTTGTTGTGAGGGCAGAGAAA